GACGCTATCTTTTTTATCTATTTACCTATTTGCGAAGATAGAATGATAAAGCTTGCGATAATAATTTTGTTTACTCGCGAAATGATACAATCCGTAATGTTTCCAATAGAAAAATTGTAAATGATGCGAAGATTAATATACATATTCTCGTAACATGCTGTGACAGATCCGTTACCCATAAATACGTAATCCAATGTAAATGATAACAAATTCAAATATTAAAATTTTATCAAATCGATCTTTATTCTTTTAATATATTCGAATACGCTTCATCGGATGCGCAAAATATGTTCGTACAAATCACATTACAAATCCAATAAAATTTAATGTTATCACATTTTTATCTTCTTAATAAAATTAATACATATACATAATTGCAAACAAATAATTGCAGATAAATCTTTTTACTTTTCACAATCTCGAATATAAAGAGTTCCCATATTATAGATTAATTTCCGATCTTTTAGATAAACACTATATTGCTCCCATTAAGACGTAATTCTAGAATATACATATTACTTTCATCAATAATAGAATGTAAATCCATTGAACGGATAAGTTATAGATCCCCTCTAAATACCATTTAATCCTTTGAATCTTCCTAGTCTGTCGCGAGAATGTCTTCATTGCTATCTAGTTTCAGTGTGCTATCGATCTGACTATGAAACCATATTGGTCAACGTGTTGGTTAGATGCACCAATTTGCACCTCAAAGAGCCAAACTAGTTGCTATGAGTAACAGTAATTTCATTGTCTCCCGATGCCACTAACGGCCCCGTATGTTTCTTTCATCCAACAAGTAGTTTTAGTAACAAGTGTTAATGCTATCAATATTATATCAAAATTTGTTCAAAATTTAATTTGACTTTCACCACTTCAACACTTGCAGAAATTTTAATATGAAAAGCATCTCTCTCACCTTCCGACATTTATAAATACCAATATAATTATTTTTATAATGCAAACATTTTTTTGTTCTTCAAATATATTATAATACATTTTATTGCTTCGGATTTATGGAATAATCAAAAAAAGAAATTAATAAAAACAAGATCATTAAAGAGAATGGTCAATATATCTCCATCAAGGCAATTCCATATCATCATTATTAAAAAATTATTATTAATATTATTATTATTATTATTATTATTATTATTATTATTATTACTTACTGCATATTAATCGTATTATTATTTTGCCTCTATTTTCTTCCTTCATACATACATAAACATAAAAAAATGCAGAAATTGTGAGGTAAAATATTTTTAACGAAATACGGAATTTTAGAGAAAGATAGGAATTCCCTCCAAAAAAAAGATGAGAAAATAGAAACAGACGGTCAAACAGAAGCGACGTGCTGATGCATGCGTTTAAAAATTCCTCGCGGTCGTAATATCGCGGATTTAAATTTTCCAGTTATAATTATAAAATGCTTCGCATATCTTATATGGATAATTATTTTCCGAGAAATCATGAATTACAGGAATTACTATATGCAACCAGAGGTTGATTTTACATGCAGTTAATTAAGCTTCTCCGTAAACAACGGTAAATATCGCTCTCGATATTTTTACTCATGTCAGTGCTCGTCACGCAAACTATATCAAGCTACAAAAACTCAAGTTATCAAAAATACTATCAATGTCTTTTCTCGCACGTATATGTGTCAATAATGTTCCGCTGGTCAATT